AAGGAAAATAGTGGACAGAGAAGAAAAGTATTTAAGACATTTCACATTTGCCTGTTAACGTTGTTTACACGTTTAGGAAGATTGTCCATTTCGAATATTAATATACTTGTATGGAATTATAACTAAAACTTAAGGGGATCAGGATATTTTACCTTAAAATTTATTAAAGTTCCAATTCTAAATTTACTCTGGTATAGAAAAAACAAAGACTAAAATTTTATAATTGGAAAAAAAAAGTTGTAATCAATTTATATATGACTCTATATAAAGTTTGCCAAGCAAATAAGAGAGTGTCAAATTTGGAATGCTTCATGCATACACATTTCTATAGAGAACTATTGTCATCACCGAATTAATTGATATTATTATTTTCATTATTTTACCAAAGACAATTAATTCAAGTAATAATACTTTTGAAAAATTTTGAATTATTTAAAAATTCAAATAAATGTTTATTTTTTCAATCAAATCTTTGTATTTTTATTTTAATTCACAGAAATCCTTACAACTAATTACTATTGATCAAAAAGTTATTTGTTACTTCATATCTATGTGACACTAATACGGTAGTGATGTAGAGAATGAAAATGCCACATAATCATATCATCATGCCACATTAAGAATGCCACGTCACTATCCATTATGACATGACACTATGTCACGTTAGCACCACATAACATAAAATAACAAGTGGTTTTGCAACTAAGTGCAATTAATCATGTTAACTTGAAAATGATTAGAGTTTTGAAATCATAAAAATAATCAAAATTTATTGTTTTAGTAATCCTTGAATGCTTTTGAAGTGCTTTAGTGTTTTTGTACTTGAATGATTTTTGAACTTATCGTTTAAAGTTGTTTGTGAAAGGAAAAATCTTTTGAATATTTTGAATGTCAAGTTCAAGTAAGAAAAATCAATAGTTGGAAAAGGAAACATCAATTCTTGAAAATACAAAAGTCACTAAAAGAGCAAAAATCGACTTCTCAAGCATCAAGTGATGGATTCTCAAAAGTTGCAAGACAAAAATTAGAAACTTGGAGAAGAATTAAACATGGGAGAATTGAATTAAGAGGGAGCGGTTAAAAGCAAATTTGAAATTTTGAACTTGGTGCCCAAAGTGCAAGAAAAATCGATTTTTGGAGAAACAAGAGATCAATTCTCAAAATTTTGGGAATAAAAAGAATTAATGTCTCAAGAAATATAAAGATTGATTCCTCGAAAACAGAATGCTCTAGAGGCAAAAAGAATCGACTTATTAAGAATGCACTGATCAATTCTTACAAAACAAAATACTCTGGAGGCAAAGAATTGACTTTTTGGGAATGCACTGTTTGATTCTTACAAGACAAAATGCTCCGAGCCAAAAAAGAATTGATTTCTTGAGAAGAAAAAGTTGATTCCTAATTAGCTCCAGAAAGTAGTTGTTAAATGTGAAAAAGACAAGAAAAACGACTAGTTTTATTACTAGGTCATCTCCAACAGCTACAAACATTTTTAAAGTATAAAAGAGACTTCTCCAACACATTTTAGAAAGAGGAGAGTTGAAAGAAAGATCGTTTGATTAAAAATAAAATGAAATGAAGAAGAGGAGGAGGAAAAAAAGAGAAAAACCAAGTTAAAGCAAGCCATGCATATTCTTCCCAAAAGCTTGTGAGCTATCCTTATGCGCCAAATATTTTGTGCTTTCACTCATTTCTTTTGTAATCATCTTTAACTCCTTCAAACTCTTCCTTCATGTACTTATAAAGGCACATTTGGTTTGATATTATAAGAGAAAGATAAGCTATGCATAAGCCTTAAAAAAGTAGTGTTGTAAAGGTTACATCTGATCCTTGAAAAGGTAAAAAGTTATGTCTTATTCTCAAAAGGTAAGGTTTTGTTCGCTAATTTATCGAGACAATTTGCTTTAAAACTTTTATCAAATGAGCACAACATCATGCGAGAGCACATGGTCAACAAATAATATAGTAGTGAGTAAGTTATCATCTCTACAGAAAATTGTATTTAAATTCTTGTTAATTACTAAAATAGGGCAATCTAATCTTATCCAAGGAAATCTAGTATAGAAATTAATTGAAAATGAAAATTTAAAGTAGGGAGGTTAAACTAGTGAACTAAGCTAAAAAATTGCAAGTAAATTAAGTTGGAAAACAGTGAGGAAATTCCTAGGGTTAGTGTTTCAATTAATGGTTCATTTGGACTTAAAATTGACTAATTACCTACTTTTATAGAAAACTAATGCTAACCTAGGATCCTTAAGCATGTACGATTCTCAGTCAAGTATCATACAATGGCCTAACTTAATTTAATTCTCTATATGTCTATAGCTAATTAATTAAGCTAAGTTCCTTAAGAATAGGTCCTATAAATTGATTGTATATGGGTAATAGGCTTATGTCTACCTTATTAACAAATTACCCAATTAATTCCTAATTGCAATGATCATATACTACCCAAATTATGGTCTTTTTAGACTAACTTTGTCAAGTATTATCTAAAAACTCATACACATCTTATTGGTGATCAATCAATAAAATGGGAAATAAGTGCATATTTGAATAAATACTAAATATTTCATAAAAACAAGTAATAATCAATCAAGCATCCAAACTATACTTTAATATCCACCATAATCCTATAAAAAAAAAGTGTTTAGTTTAACATTCAACAGCTCACAACAAAATTTCAGCAAAACTAAACGTTTATACAAAGAGATTTAGAGAGAAAAAAATAAACTAGTGAGGGAAAACTCTATTTGTTGTAGCTGTTTCAGCTTTTCTTCAAGATTTTTCCTCTTTTTTTTTCTTTGCAGAAAGCTCCTTTTTGCCTCTGAAGTTACTTTTACCTCCTTTTTTTTTTTTTCATTCCTTTTGCCTTAAAAGAAATTCACTTTTTATACCCTCTGATTTGGAAAATCAAAGGATCCAGACTTTTGACATTTAAATTGGTGCTGCAACACTAAAAGTTTGATGCTGCAATGCCAAGCTCACTGCCAAAGGTAGTGTTGCCTTGCCCGAGGGTGCCATAGCGCTGGCAGCATGGCATCGCGGTGCCACAGCTTTTATTTGGTGAGGTTGTTAGTGGTGTTGGTGATGTGGCACTAGAGGCGTGGCGCTGCAGCACTGAATGTTCTGTTTGGTGAAGGGTTGCTGCTAATGGAGGCAGCACTGCAGCGCTAGAGGCTTGGAGTTGCAACGCCCATTCTTCTATTTTCTCTCCTGTTCTTTCAGCTTCAGTGTTTTCCCTTGTTGCAATTCAATTGCTTCTCATGCGATTTTTGACCTTGTTCTGATTGGAACTAATTGAAGTGATGTTGTAGGTCTTGGACTTAACTCTCCAATGATAAAAAACTCACGACAATTAGTCATCAGGAACTCACATTATGCTCAGACAACTGTAGCATGGTCAGCACACTTTTGCACCACTCCACCCTTACACACTTCATTCCTTCTTCATTCATAAAACTTCAAAGCAAGGACTAATTCAGTAGCAACTTAAATTAAACATTTTAATCTATAATTGACTAAATTGATTGAAGTTAAATTAAATTGACATGCTTATTCGTAATCAATGAACGACAATTAAAACAACTAAATTAGACTAAAACTTTAGAACTGCAGTCATTTTGGTACCTGAAATATGATGAGATAACTCTATGAAATAGAGTTATCAGAAAGGTTATGCTTGATCCATTAAAGGTAGTGGCTTGTATAGGTTATGCTTGATCCTTTAAAAAATAATTTCTTAATGGATTTCAAGCTCCTTAATAAGCCAAAACAAAGGATGTAGGAGCTTATGGAAAGGGCCGAACCTTTATTAATTTTTTGTATCTTGTCTCTCTTCTACCTTCTCTTTTAACTTGTGCATTTTGTTTTTGAAGAAGTTTTAGAAATTTGTTTATAGCTCTCTACTCTTCATTTTTCATACTCATGCATTTTGCCTTATTGTGAAGAGATTTGAATAGTTGTTTAAACTCGCTTAATCTCAACTCATTTTTCAAAGCACTCTAGATTCACTTTGAAACATTTGTGCACTTTTCTTTGAAGAGTTTCGAAAACTTGTTTTCAACTTGATTACTCATTCATTTGCTTGTTAACTTATTAAAGTGAAAACAAATTTGAAAAACTTATTTTCAAGCTTGCATCTATTGAAAATTTGATTTAGGGAAAAGAAATTTTAAAAATTCATTTCACCCCTTTATTGGATATTTCCTCACTATTATGAAACTAATATTCCTAACAAGTCATAAAAATTTATTTAACCTAAAATAAAAATATAAATATTTGATTGAATGTAATAAAAAATAAAAATTTATTTAAATTTCTCTATACAATTTAAAAACCTTTTTAAGCATTATATTTTTATACAAACAACCGACCTAGCGAGAGCAATTAGCACTGAATTAGCATTTCTAAAAATTACATGTGTCCTGTTGTTGCATTATTTTGCTGAGCACTTAATTAATTGTTCATGTTTGTCTAAAGATTTTTAAATGCAGGGTTAGTAGGAAATTAAATGCTTGTAGAATTATTATGAATAAAATAATATTCTTATTCAGAGAAAACATCGAGTAGTTTACTACTAATTTAAACCCGAAAGAATCTTTAGTACCGTCCAATCCATTAAATTAATCAAAGTCTCAACGTTTCAATTCCAGTTGACACTCACCACTTAATAAAGAAATACATTATTTACATTCAATGGAGGTAGCTCAGACAACAAGAACGATTTACCGTGGGGCTGGGGGGACGATAGAATTACATTAACACCCTTAACTTGCCACGTCAGATAACCTTAAAGTCGGTTTGGTTCCTGCCAAAAAGCGTGATGAAAACCACGGAGAGGTGTCAACACCCCCACGCACACTTTTCCCTGGAGTTTCACTGCATTAACACCTCCTACTCTCGCCACGTGTTCCCAAGACCACCTTCTCTTGCCACCTGGTCTTTTACACTTCTCCCGTCATGCTGTCATCTGGCTAGAAAAAGGAAGAACGATTCCGGGCAACTCCTGCACTTCACGCATCTCCAGAATTATCCTGCCAGACCTCACTTGAAAAACCATGGAGGTTCCCGTGGGGTTCTTGGCAAATCTCTGGAGCTTTGTTTCATTTCTTCCCTTCTTTTCTTTGCTCTTTCTCCTTGGCCTCCTCAAAGGTAATTACAAGCTGAGTTACAGAGAAGAAAATTAGTGAAAAAGAAATTTCACAAAGGCAACATATTATTGTTCGTGTCAATTTTAATTTGTTTCGAATCAGGACGAAAACATATTGCAATTTCATTCTGTCGGTATTACTTCACAAATTAAAGACTACCCATGTTTAAATTTTGTCCATTCTATGCATGTGAAGTTAGTTCATGATTTTAGAGAACTTTGCTGGGTGTCATATGCTAATGCTTGTGTAGTTGAAAGAAAATTATAGAGTCACAGGAATGAAATGAATGACTAGATCAGTTATTATAGCACAAATGGGTAGTTTATTTACTTGTTGCATCTCTTATTCTGTCCACAGCTGCAATCATTTGTCCTGTTGTGGTGGGAATTATTGTGACTGGGAATTCAGCAGTGGTAATTGGGCTTTGGCCTGCACATTCTCTATGGACTTACTTCTGTGTGGCAAGGTTTGCTTCCTTTGTATTTGAATTGTGCTACCTGTACTGTTATACTTGCAATTGTAGTCCCTTTTAAATTCAGGGTGTAGAGAATATGGTGTTGTGTCCTTATTTCTGTTTTTCCAACTTGTAATTCTAGAACAAAGAGGCTGGGGCTGGTTCTCAAGATTGTGGTTTTGGTATCATTGGGTGTACCAGCAGTTCTCTGGCCAGTCGTAGCAGTTGTTGGAAGCCTTTTAGGTGGAATAGGGTATGGATTTTTCGCTCCCCTTGTCACAACTTTTGAGGCCGTTGGGCAGAATGCAGCCGACAAGTGCTACCACTGCTTTGCTGTGAGTTCCTTCATCTCTGTTTGATTTTTTTACAAGGAGCTATCTGACTGATATTCTTGCTGATGTTATCTAAGTCAAGAGGAATTTTTTTTTTTTTTGGATTGATAATTGATATATATATATACACATATTATTTTAGAACTTGTTCTATACCTTCCTTTCTTGCCTGAAGAATACCTTTACAGATAATGCCTCTGTAGTTTATACTAATGCAAAGAAACATATTGTTTGTTGATGCAGCTTTGTTCACTTAGATGGAATTGAAGTAGGCAATGGGGTTCTCTAATCAGTTTAAATAATGAAAAAACTGTCCATCTCTTTATAATTCATTGAACCAAACTTCCATTGCTCTGACAATTATGTCCTCCTTGAACTGCAAGAATGATCCTTGGATCCGATTGTCTGATAATTTATCTATATTGGCATGTCTAATGATATTCTAACACAGTTTATGTTGTTATTGTTGTTTGCATGGTTTAATAAATCCCTATTGTTATAACACTTATAGCATATATCACTATTTGACTATAGCTTTTGCTCAGTGTATGAAGTGTTGGCTCGGTCTGCTAATCTGTGGCATGACTATAATTAATAGCCTGGTATTTTAAATAAAATTTTAGATTAGCTTGCGAATTTTGGCGTCCAGTCTGTCATTTGTATGATATGTTCTATGGTTTGATCAATTCACATGTTTGGCTAAAAATAAATAAATAAATTCTAATGGAAAACTTACTCATTGCATGCCAGGATGGTTGTTTGTCCATTATTAAAGGAAGCTGCATAGTGGTGGAGGACTTTGCAGATTTCTGCTTCCACTCATACTTCTCCTACATGGACGAGCTAAGCGAAAAAATGCCCTCGGATGAGAAGCCCTTGGATGTAAAGTAAGAGATTGCCCATTTTAATCTTTGCTGCATACTAGTAAATAAATATAAGTAGACTCTTCAGATTTTGTTCTATTTCGTCCTTGCAAGGTTATCAAAATTGCCAGGTTGTTTGTTGGTTGGGTTGATTGGCATGTTAGTTGATGTGCCTTTGATTACAGCTGTTACTCTGTGGAAAAGCCCATATATGCTGTTCAAAGGATGGAAGAGGCTGTTAGAGGATTTAATCGGCAGAGAAGGACCATTCTTGGAGACTGTGTGTGTTCCGTTTGCTGGTTTAGCAATCCTTTTATGGCCTTTGGCTGTTGTGGGAGCTGTAGTTGGAGCTATCATTGCAAGCTTCTTCCTGGGACTTTATGGTGGAGTTGTTGTGCATCAGGTCTGCAAAAGTTCCTTTCTCTATTACTTCAAGCCGTACATGTCTTTGTTGCAATTATTTTCATGTTATATCTAAACATATATTTATGATAATCCAGGAAGAATCACTGTGTATGGGATTTTCCTATATTATTTCTGTGGTTTCACTATTTGATGAATATGTAAATGATTTACTCTACTTGAGGGAAGGATCCTGCATGCCCAGGTACATCCTGTGTTCCACTTTGTTCATTTAATAGCAGCAAATAGTATTTATATAAGTCATATTTTGCTGAAACGTCAAAATGGAGAGCGAAAGTGAGGTTTTTTGTGTTAGAAACGCATTCCTCATTCACTCCCAGGATTTTATTCTGCTCCTTTTACACATACGCCTTGATTTTGATTCTGAGACATACTTTTGACAGCCAGGCCCAGATATCGTAGAAACATGAGCAATAGCCCTGATATGGAAATGCTGGAAAACAATCATTACAATGAATTGAAGAACAGAGGAGAAGGTTCATCCAGCAAAAAACTTATTTCGGAAAACTCAAGAACATTGAAGTGGGCAATCCAACAATACAGACCTATGCAGGTCCAGACTCTTTGACCTATAATTTCAAATTGTAGTTTGACACAAAAAAACTCAATAATGCTGCCAATTTTACAGGCATGGGACTGGCTTTTTAAATCCTGTGAGGCGAATGGTAGGACACTCCTCCATGATGGCCTCATAACTATCAAGGACATTGAGGAGTGCATTGTGAAGAGCAATTGCAGAACGTTGGGTATAAAACTACCTGCTTTGTCGTTATTACAGTGTCTTCTGGTATCAGCTAAATGTGACTCAACTGGCTTAGTGATTGGTATGTCCCTCTTCTCTCATTTTTTCCATTAGCTTTGTGGATGATGTTACGGTTACAATCATGATTATGCGATTGAATTTTCCAGGTGATGGTGTGGAATTGACGAGGAGTAATGTGCCAAGGGACAGGGTGTTTGATTGGTTTATTGGACCATTATTGATCATAAAAGATCAATTGAATAAACTCCAATTAGAAGAAAGTGAAGAAACTTGCTTGAGGAAGCTGTTTATGGGGTGCAAAAAAGAAAAACCTGAGGACTGGAATGATTTTGGTTATACTTCCGGTGATAGTGTCAGGAGAGCACAGCTGCAAGCCATAATTAGACGGTATAAAAGCTATATCCAAAAATTACACAACTCTTTGAATTCATCACCTGACCCCTGGACTGCCATCTGATTGTATGTTATGAATCATTAGCTAGCATGCTACTTCGAGCCATTACCCGGCTAAAGTTTTCTAATCTACTCCACTACTTGATTAAACTTAGAACTCATCATGCCATTCTCATTTTATGACAGGTTGCAGGGAATTGTGGCTTCAATGTCCCGGATACCAACCTTTCACCGTCGCATTAGGAATTTGGTGAAGTTGTTATATATAGAGGCCATTCAGGCTGGTGCTCCTGCCAATCATATAGGAGGAATCCTAAAGCCAGATATAGTGGCAAGATATCATCTGGAAGAGGGGATAGAAAAGATAGATATGAAAATAATGCAGAAGGGGACAGAGCAAATGAAAATGAGGATGTAGTATAAATGGCCCTTGTACAGTTACAAGTTTTGTAGAATTTGGCTATAATCTTTACGTATGAGACAGTTTGTAAGAATTAGTTCCAAATTACACATTTGCTGTAAATGTTGAACATGACTCATATGAAGGACCTGTTAAAGTTAAAATCAGATTTATATATTCTCTTATATCCGGAGAACACCATCTTTGGACGTGAAAGAACTGTAGCACTGAGAATGCCAACATTGGGATTATGCTTCTCTCCTATTTTGTTATTTGCTGGCTACGCAGAAGAATCCTGTCTTAAGGGTGTGAACCTTCTCCATAGCAAACAAAGCACCCAACCTGGACCTAAAACTATAAGGTAGGGTTTAGTCTTCAAAGCAAATTTAATCTCCGCACACCCGTGAGGATTCAATCAGAGGTTAACCCAAGTCTTTTTGTGTAAGTTCCTCTGTTCTGCTGCTGTTTCTGCTACGATTGCTGGAGGTGCTTAAGCACCTGCAGATCACAGCCATCTCATTTTCAGGGGCTTATAGATTTTGATTACTTAATTACTGTTGGAAGTTATTCTAGTATTTGGGTGTACTGCCTGCCTTGGCCTGATAATAGGTAAGAATCCAGAAAAGAGAGGGACGAAACATTGTTGCTTGCCCATATGGCACGCAAGGATCAGAGAGTCAGAGCCTAGTGGACCAAATTGCTGTCATATTCTCACAATTCAGAGAATTTGATTGGCCTTTGGAGTGCCCGGATGGAACAAATGATTTTCAAATGGCATTTATACCGACGGTGAGTGAAAAATTCGATTAAGAATATCAATTAATGGAAGCTTAATTCATCTGAAACTATATAAAGAAAGAAAAATGAACCATTCCTCCTTTTAAACCGTTTACAGTGGCGAGATCATAAGCTATCAGACCATCATATTGTTCATTTACGTCTGAAATTGTCCTTCCCATATCTTTTATTTGTTTCCATTTTTGTGTCTATATATGTGTTGGTGAGATGTATATGAGCTAGTATCCACTTCATGGAGATTATAGATTTTTAAATTACGGTTAAGATACAATGGACAAAGTCTAATCACCATTAAAAATTTGTTGTGTTGTTGAGTAGGCAAACTGACTTGACTGTAAATAGCAAATAGGTTTGAGGACATTCTCTTCACCCCCTTATTTCGGACACCTTTTATGCTTACAACCTCTAGATGGAGATTTTTCATCCATGGAGAGAGGCCAACTTTCCTGCCTCTTCCTCATTCTGTCTCTTTCCCTGAAATCACAGCTTCTGGCAAACAACATTCGGACCATTGTCCAATATCGCATGCTCAGTTTCAACTGCGATTCTTTGGCATCAGCTTTATGTATACCGTCAATCATCGGCTAGGATCCAAGGTTGCTCTAATCTCCTGAAACTTTCCAAGCCAAGGTAACGTGAGTGTTTTTCTTTTAAAGGGTGTATGATGAGTCCAGGCAAACCGTTTAAGACCAGAAGCAATAGAACTGCATCGCCTTTCTCTGCTACGTCTTGAGAATCAGAGATTGGATCATATCCCATTCCCATGCAAAAAGAAAGGCAAACATAGAATTGCGTCAGGATTAATGGCATTCCATTTCCCCATGAGAGCTCAGTCAGTTGGAAGTTCAGCATTTTATGCAGAGAGAATAACGGAAGAACCTCATCCTCTCACAAACAGTAAAAATGCTCAGAGCGCCGTCACGTTGGTGTACCAAACCAATATACTAGGCTATTGGCGTAACGTTACGATTATGTGGTGCAAGAATCTTATGAATCATGCTCTCAGCATTATGGTGAATAGCATGGAAGGAGATGCTCAATACAGTTGCAAGATTGACCTTAAGCCTTGGCATTTCTGGAGCAAAAAAGGGTACAAATCCTTTGACGTTGAAGGGAAGCAAGTAGATGTCTACTGGGATCTGCGATCGGCAAAATTTACCACTGGCCCTGAACCAGTAGCAGAATATTACGTCGCTCTAGTTGCTGATGAAGAGGTGGTGTTATTGCTGGGAGATTACAAGAAAAAGGCATACAAGAGAACGAAATCAAGACCAGCCTTGGTTGAACCTCTCCTGTTTTACAAGCAGGAAAACGTGTTTGCCAAGAAGAGTTTTGCAACCAGGGCTAAATTCGATGAAAGAAGAAAAGAACACGACATCGTTGTGGAGAGTTCAACAAATGGATTTAAAGACCCTGAAATGTGGATAAGCATGGATGGGGTTGTGTTGATTCACATTAGGAATTTGCAGTGGAAATTCAGGGGTAACCAGACTGTTTTGGTAGATAAGCAACCCGTGCAAGTGCTCTGGGATGTGCATGACTGGTTGTTTACCAGTCCTGGAACTGGCCATGGCTTGTTTATATTCAAGCCCATCGCAGCTGAAGCAGAAAGTGACAGAGAGGGCAGTGGCCATGGAGGCGACAGTGATACCAGCACTGGAACCAGGTATTATTCTACACACAGCCCCACCATGACATCCGAATTCAGTCTGTTTCTTCATGCGTGGAAGATTGAGTGAGATTCAATGTGTGCATTCCGAGATTTCCATTACAAAAAAATCCTTTTGCAGGCAATTCCATGCATGTATATTCTTCAAGTACTGTAAATTTTTTATCACAAATGAAAGTTAATGAAGCGGATAGTCTTGCTGTTTTCAACTATTCAGAATAGGGGACATGATTTAGAAACAAAACAATAATGATAATATTACATTGTCATGTAAGTCTTTCGTCATTCACATAAGCCTTTTGTCGTGAATAATCTACTAATTCATATCAATACACAGTAAAGAAGAGATCACGTGTACCCAACAAAACCAACTATCCTCTGACTTGAAAAAGGAATTCCCTGTCATTTACATTCATGATCTAGTATAGTAGAGTATTTCTCGAAACCAAATCAAAGCATAATCTTCTTCGTTCTGCTCTTTTGGGAGCTAGGGCTGGTGGGGTGTGGAAATGTAGATATTCGTGCTATAGCACTTTCTTTGGCGAAAATGAGAAAACCATTTGCAAAGCACCAAGATAGATTCTGCTTACCTGTTGCGACAATTAGCAAGAGTGAAACACCATGCAATGTTGGCTCGTGGCCAAAAATGATGTTGGTTAAATTAGAAAGAATGCAGATATGAGTTCTATCGCTCGGACTCTTCATTTTTCCTAAAATACCTGTATTCAACACATTCAACAGACATAAATATAGCTTTCTCACCCTTCACATGTATGGAAAAGCATAAAAAAATAAAATAAAATAAAAAGTCTCTGCCTCGGACACACACCCATCAATCTTTACTTCCAGCAACAAAGGATATGACAAACCAGGAAGTAAAATTAACTCTACCCTTAACAGAATCCTTTTTTCTGCTAATTTTTTATTCCCTGTAGATTCCTCTTTGTTGTATTAATGGATATACAGGAGAGATGCTTATACCGATTGCACCATTAAGCCAAAATGCAAGGTACTTGAACGTTGAGTGGCCTTATACTACAAAGGAAAAACTTGTAAGTGCCTTTTTGAAGGTCCAAAGTTTACTAATAAAAACATGACAAATATTCAAATTCATATTCAAACTGCTTTACAACAGTTAAATGATTTGTGATGGAAGTATGATTGATTAGCAGAATCCATTACCGAGTTTCCAGAATCTTTTGGGACCTTACCTGGAATCCTCCAAGCAGATTACTCAATGAATATTACTGTCTTATGCACAGCCATCGGTTTTAGCTTCACTAACCATCTGTCCTTTGTCAAGCGGATAATATAAATATCTCCGCAGGGAACCAAAAGCAACTTCCAAAGTGATAAAATACAAAGAAATAATAGAAAAAATGCACTGTTACCATGTCTGCTATTTTGATTTTAGAGAAAAAAAATGTACAATAATTTATCATCTCGCTATAATAAGGGTGAATCACATTTGAAGAGCAACTCAATTATATCTTAAAATGTTGCACAACGAGTGATACTGGAAGAACCTGAATCTTGTAGAAAGCTGTAAGTTATGAACGACCAAACTACCATATGAAAAAACCAGACACCAATATCACCTCCCAAAGCATCTCAACACTGATGAGGCAAGAGTAGAAGAAAGAAATTTCAATCCAGCAGATCCTCCCGGGAAGTAGGACATAGCATAGTAAGATAGCGTAATGACCTAAAAAAGATTGAACAGGCATCAATTTCCAATAACTTGCATTCCAACACTTTTGGTGCAGAATGTAGTAATACAACATCCAGACTACGTTAATGATTACTTATCATATGAGGCATAATACATGATAGTACTTAAAATCTGTTTCAAAAAATATGCTGGCAAAGTAGTAAAAGAATTAAATTATTATCCCCTAGATCTTAGAAGATCCCTAATAAATTTTGTAGAAGGCATTGTATGAATAACAGAATTTAATTAAAAATAAGGCATTCCAAAATGTTAGTAAAACAGCTAACACTCACAGAAGGTATTCCACAATGTTATAAAACAGCTTGTACTTAGCAGTCAGAGCAGTAACTTATGCATAACAGCACTTCAGGCTCTTTGTACATATCTAGAAACTCTATCAAACCTAACTTGGCCACTATCCCAGTATCCCATTTCCCCAACATGAGGGAAGAAAACAAAAGAAAATTCAGATTCATATGGTGCTAATACCTGTAATACAGAGAACAGCACGGAAAGAATGTAACTATGAAGCCACATGGAAACATAAATAGTACCCACCATGCTGCCGACAAAACCCAATGTAAAAGGCAGCCTCTGAAAGTAAAGAAGAAAGAAAATACAAGGTATTTTAGGATGCTGTAAGAAGGTAAAAAAAAAAAAAAAAGATTACTTCTAGTTTCAGAGAGGTCTTTAAATTGCAAGTTTTAGTAGGTAAATCAAAATGTATACTAAGCAAAAAGAAAGCAATGAACTAATATACCTCTTTGGAGGACATGTGTGCAAACTGATTTCGAGGACCTTTCAAAGCAAAGAATGAGCCAACAATTAACGCACAACCGATTGTAAAGCAGATAGCAAACTTCTGCGGCACCAGTACTATCACTGGAAGGAACATGGTGAACGCCACAAAGACGAAGAACACTCCAGCAGCAAGGAACACCCCAAAATACATTAAGGATTTACCAGACGGGACATTGCTAGTTGCAGATTGAAAGCTGCCTGGTAAGTCTCTGACTCCTTTTGAGACCCTGAAGAGTTAAATCGGTATCACCATTGAAATATAAGAAATAATGACTGCAGAGAAAAGAGTGATCAAAGCTCAAACCACAAATAAGCCAGACTTTTCTGATAATGAGCCTTCTCTCCTCTTATGCTTTCCAGAAAGCAGAACTCCACTCAAAAGAGATACTTATCATCAAGGTAACAAGAACATTGTGTCCCTCCTATTTTATTTGCATAGGCTGTAAAACTACACTCTATACATAAAGGCAAAAGCTCATATATTATGCTTCATCACATTCACAATAAAACCTATTGTACCCACCGAGCATACTAATAATCCTCATAAAATGAAGAAAAGCCATAACCTGTTATCAGTGCCACAGGCAGAATGCAAAGAGAGAATCTTTGTTGACTATGGAAGTGAGCAGGAGATAAGGTTGCTCGACTAAATGGGGCCAATCACTGAATTGTAGAACAGCTAATGGCATGAACTGTGTACAAAACCTATCTAATTTGCTTGAAAAGCTCACTTAGGAAATTAATCAGAAGTACTTGCAAAAGGGCGTAACTCAGATTGAAACATTCTTGAACTCTTATTCTGATACATTCTGTAATTTACTGCTATCCAACAACAATGGAGAAAAGAAGATTTTTGTTGGCAAGCTTTTTGTAATGTTCATTTTACAACAATCCAACAATATCTTAAACATGATCTTTGCCATCCATGTAACTAAGCTACAAGAAAAGCAAATAAATCCTCCATAGGTTTCACCAAAGATTGAAACGAAATTAAAAATCCAACCATTGCTGCATTAAAGAATGCTTACTTATCAACCTTATCCACCCAAACCATGCACAATAGCAAATGGTGCCCCACAATCTGTCATCTTTGCCTATTTAGATCATTACTTTTCTTCATCAACCATCCAATAAATGAAAACAAGATTGGAAACCAGCAAGCTGAAAATATTTTGGTAAATGTGGAAGCTGGGAGAGGTACCTCTCTTCCATCCGATAAATCTTACCCTCCTTTCTTTAAGATTCAAACCTGATTAGTGCAGTAAATCAATCAAGCTATTCAAACTCCTCTGGATGAATACTCAAGCTCATTTCATTTACTATGGAGGCTTTTCTGATAGTTCATGTATACTGATGATTGAATTTGAGCTCAAGCCCTAATTGAGTATCAAGCTCCTTACTCCAGTTTATCATATTTGAGCCTAATTGAGTCAAAATCAAGGCTCGGCTCGGCTTGATTACACTCCTAAACCTGACACCTCCAAGCAGAGTCTCAAATTCTAACCCGTAACTCCTTGACCGGAACATATTGCATTTAACCCTTCGTTCATTTTTGAAACGGTAGACTTTTTCTCACGAAATGAACCCATATTCAATCCAGTTCACCAAAGCCAAAAAAATCTACCGAATTATACCAATAGAACAAAATAAACAACAGAAGGATACCCTTCTGCTACGAAGCAAAGAAAAAAAATATAAACTCAAACAACAAACTGTCCTCCATCAAAATTCCATGCAAAAGACAACATTATATATATATATATATATATATATATTCATAAGAAATACGCACATGTTAAAGGTGCCGCTGACTTTATCCGAGGTAGTACGGGCAGCGGCTTCGAGATCGAACCCAAGAGCGGAAGAATCAGAGTCTTGGGAAGCGGCGTAGGCATTCCAATCCGCCAACAAAGACGGCGATGTCTGTTGATCAACACCGCTGCTGCTGGGTCCTCCTAGGAACCAAGACTGCGCCGTGCTCTTCATTTTTGCTTCTCTGTTTTTATTTATTTAACTTTGTTCTTGACGCTTTTGCTTTTGGGCTAACGAAAGCTTGGAATTCAGTGGGTTCAGATTAGATCTCTGGAGGTTTTGAGATCTTGCAGTGTGGTTTCGCGCCAGCCTCGGTCGCTAATATTATTTACTTTACCATCTCGACCAATGGTTTCTTTCCTTCTTGTATGTTCCTTAATCTGGAGGGACTCAGGGGCTGTTTGGGAGTAAAGGTAAAATGCATTTCTGGTTTCAGACTGTACAACAAAATCAATTATGTCTGCAAATTGAATTGAAATTTATTTATAATATATATTTAGAAGGAAATAAATGTAATTATTTTTATCAAAAAATTATTTTTTTTTAAATTGAAGATGTATTAAATCAAGTCAAATACATTAACAATAAAACACATGACACTAAATTAGACTATTCACTTAAATCATCCACATAGAATTATTTTATATATATATAAAGATTTTGTTTATTATATATTTAAAATAGATGTTGCTTTATTGGGAAAATACATATAAAAATATGAATAAATATGTAGATTCATAGATAAAATCAATTAAATAAATTTTGATAAATATTATAGACTAATTAATTAACAAAATCAATATCAATAACTAACTTATCCTTCTATTGTAATTGATCTAAAAGCAATTACGTTAATGGTCAATAAATTAATGACAGCGAACGAGACACTTTAATACCATAATTTAAAATATCCCAAAAATGTTAAGAATTTTTTTTGAATAATATGTGCATGGTTAAATATTGTAAGTCAAAATTCGTTTCAAAAGAATTTTAAGAGTCCAAGATTAAATTGGGGTTGACTACCTTTGGTCAAATTTCCAATCTAGGAACTTAAGTTTAGCTATATATGATATAGTAAGAAATTCATGCAATGCATTATAAGAAATTTGGTTGGAGCAAATCAAGCCAAATATTGAATATATACGGCATAAAAGGATAAGCATGGAATGAATTAGACAAGGGGAAGGAAGAGGGCTGCTTTTAAACCATATGTCTTTATACCTTTTATATATGTAACTTGAGTAACAAGAATAAATTGCAACTATCATCAATATATTTGTATTTATTTAATGATATATAGATGCAAAAGAATTGAATTTAATCTCCTTTGTCTCAAATTATGCTTGATAGAAGAAAATTACTATAAATTTATATATACCTTCTGTTATATTTTCCTCTTTATATGAAAAGGTATCAAGTATGTATAACAAAAGGGAGATTTCATATCTGTTTTAATTGTGATTGTAGACATAATAGAATGCATATCCAAACAATGTTTCAAGAAACGAGCAAGAAAGTCAAGATCTTTCATTTCAAAATGTTAATTAAGAAATTGTTGTAATTCGAGAATGCTGGTCATATCATTATCAATGATACTCATATTATCCACGTAAAAAACAAAAAAGCCATATCATAAGCAATATGGCAAATGAATAATACAAAATCATGAAGATTAGAAATAAAATAAATTAAGCAATAGTGAAACTAAATTTCACACATTAGGCTCTCGTTTCTTGTTTTAAACCGTATTAAGGCTCATTGAAGCTTACAAACTTGATGAGAGTAACTAGATGGATGGAACATGTACACTTTTTACTTGTAAAATCATTAATAAAAAACTTGCATTCTTAACATCCATTGGAAAAAGGATCAACCCTTTTGTTTGTAATGTTTTCATGTAACTGGAAGCTACCTTGGTGTTTCGACTTCTTTGTTAAAACAGAGCCAATTTTGACTCTTGCCATATGTTTGTAACAGCCTTGTTACCTTAATAATATCACGGCTTCTCAAAAAAGAAAAAAAAAAGGATAAAAATCATAGTGATGCTTAAGTATATACCTATTTCACTTAACCTTTTGCAATTAAGTTATTTTATAGATTAAAAGAATTGAAAATGAGTCATGTATAAACAAGTTTACCTTTTTCTTTTGAAGTAAACTAAATGCAAATAAAAGATTGACATAAGACTTAAAGAAATGTTCGTATAAAGATTGTTGGATTGGGTTCCATGATGAGATATTATCACTTTAAAATAGGTTCTCACAGTGTTGTCTTTTGCAAAAAGATTGACTCATATATAATGGAAGAAAATCTACTTTTATTTAGAAATTACAGTCCAATCTTCAGCGAAGAATAAGGATTTTGTATAAAAGGTGATTAAAGAGTAATTATATAAAAATATGGATCCAGTCAATGATTTGATTTAATGTAAAAAATTAATCACTTTTTTAAAATAAAATAAAATTATAATATAAAATTTCATTAATAATTTAAAAATAAATTTTCAGATTCATTACTACAAATAGTCATAAAGCATAAAAACAATATTAAATTTATCACATTAGGTAATACTCGACATAAAAAAAAAAGCTAGGAGCTAAAGGGTAATCATAAAAGGTCATAAATCGAGTTAATGATTTGATTCAAAAAAAAAATTAACTTCTTTTGAAATAAAATTAAATTATAATATAAAATTTCATTAACAATTTAAAAAAATTAATCACTGAAATAAAATTAAATTATAATATAAAATTTCATTAACAATTTAAAAATAAATTTTCAAATTCACCAATACAAATAGACATAAAACATAAAAAAAAAAATGAGATTATCACATTGGTAATGTTGGGCATAAAAAATGAGATAGTGACTAAAAAGTAATCATATAAAGTCATGGATGAAGTCAATGATTCAATTTAGAGCAAAAAATTAATTTAACCTTAGCTTTTAGACAATAAGTTAAATGACTTACTACTATTTCAAAACAATCTATTTAATTTAATTAAAGATGATAAAATTATATATTTCTAAATTTTATATATAATAATAAAATAATTTAAAATTGAACCTGCCACTCGACTCTCCACCACTAATGGTCACCACCACCAACACCATCATCATTATTATTATACTCATAATTAAAAGTTACAATCATAATCAAGTAATTATCAACATGTATGATATAACAATTATACTTAAAATAAAAAATCAATATACATATTAAACAAATTGACAATTTACCATAACGTCGAGCTAAACTAATACATAAGGAGACTTAACAACACGTTAGGTCTACAAAATAAAATAAAAGTAGAATGAAATAATTATTTCATAAGAATAAAATAGAAAAAAAATAGTTGTTATATATTTTGATTATGAATAGAATAAAGAGAGAATATTAAAAGCATCATTTTACCCTTCAATAAAAATTAATGTATTTCTTTAAAAATTATAAATTGTAAAAATTCCAACATATTTTATTAAAATTTTCATAAAAACAAATTTACCATTCATTGAAATAATAGTAACATTTTTTATTATATGTTTCAAAAAGTATATATTTTTAATTATAAAGTCCAACAATATATTCTTTTTTTGTTTCTTACAAATAAAATCATTTTTTTGTTTCTTTTTCATTAAATCGATAACATTTTAATTTTTAAAAAATGTGAGGGCAAATTTGTTATGGTAGTGTTTCTATTCCTTGCTTACCTGAAGTAACTATTCTCATGGGGAGTTCGAGAATGACTATTCCCTCTTCATAAGGAATAAGACTGGAATGACCATATATTTCATGAAAAAATCATTCTTGCCAATCAAATTATTTGATAATACTATTCACATTGAAATAGAAGCTAAATGAAATAGTAATTTCAACTAATTAATATTGCTATAAAAGTTCAAAAGAACTTATTTTTACTAGAGACAAGTTCTTGTTGGCATTTTTTCATGTAGTTAATTTATATTTTTTATTATATACCATCTTTGAGATAATGAATATACTAAAAAGAGTAATCTTTGTTGTTTACCTTTGTTTTTTTTTTTTTCTAAACAATTTTATTTCAAGAGAAGAATTCAACTTGAAACTTTAAATGTCTTTTCCTTTGAACACAATTCATACTAGGATAATTTGAACAATTTTTCATTTTGATTTTGTTAGTTTTCTGGAATCAAGAACCTCTAACAATGTAGAGAAAGACAAAAAAATTCTGGTATGAAGAGACAGGAAGAGCATTTGGTGAACTAATCTTATTTGGCTATAGTTAATTAATAAACTAATAACAAATTAATTAGAGTTAACTACTTTAGTTTAATCACATGCTTTTAACACTCCTCAAGTGGAGCATGGATGTCACGAATGCTCA